TTATTTCTTCTGAACATCATTTACATTATTCTTGATATCATAATTAATTAATACAAAATATAAATCAATATAATGACATTTCATGATTTAATATTTGAATAAATTCTATAATAAATCATGTATGAAACAATAAAAATACAATAAATTCATTATCAAAACAAGAATATAATAATATCATATTTATTCATTGAATACAATTTTGAATATTGAATCATTAAAATGAAATATTTATTCAATTTATATTATTCTCTCTTTTTTAAATAATCTTTATTATATTTCATTTCAATTTCATGTTTATTCATTTGTGAATGAAAATATAAATGAAATATATTATGAAATTAAATTATAAATATAAAGAAATGACAAATATGATAGAATAAATAAAGATAAATAAGAAATACAGAAATTTGTAATAAAAATATCAAATAATAGAATATCCACAATTTGATTTTATGAATATTGAGAAGTGATTATTTCAATGATTTTAATATCTTCTATTTCTATAATAAAGTTTATTTCTAACATATGAGAATTAGAAGGTTCATCTTCTAATGTGTTGCCAGTGTTGAATATGTAGAACATTAAGTCTTTCATATTTTTAATAATGATTGTTTGTAGTATTTTGTTGAAGTCAATTTGTAATTTTAGTGTCTTTAATCTTCTTACTGTTTCTTTATGTATTAATTTATTGGATAATATTACAAGTATTATTTCTACATAAATTAATTCTCTATTTGTCTTAACTTCTCTTGTAATTATTTGTATTTATTTATTTTGTAAATATAATTTAATTCATTATTTCTATCTTGACATATATCAACATCATTAATATATCATTTTATCTTTGATGATTTGATAATATATATCTGATATTCTAACATTAAAAGAATTGTCATTAACAAATAAATCAATAATTTAATATAAGAATATATTAATATTAATATTCATTTATGATATATATTAAAATCAATTTTCATTAAATTTATTAAAATATGTAATTAATATATGTTTATATATTTGATTAAATACATATTCATATTTTAGTATTTGATTATTATTCATTATTTTATTTATTTATTTTGATTTATATTTTATTATTTATATTATTTATTTTATTCATGTATTTGATATTTATATTTTAAATATATTCTTATTATTTAATTATTTCATTTCTTATTAATATTATTCATATTCATATTTCATTTAATTTAACTTATAATTTATTTTTATTGATATTTATATTATATAAATACAAATAGATTAATAAAATTGATATTTATTTATCTATAATATCAAATTCATTTAATTTATATTTAATAATACAAAATCATAAGTTAAAATATAGAATATAAGAATAATAAACAATAATAAAATAATAAAAAAGATATAAAAGATAATAAATAAATATGATAAAATAGAAGATATAAGAAATAATAAACATATACAATAAATAATAATAAATATTTTAAGTCAATAAAAAAGAATAATATCAAAAAGAATAAATAAGAAAAGAATAATAATAATATAAATGATAATCAATTATAATTTATTTCCACTTCAATTTATATTGTATTTCATTTATTGTATTTTTATTTCATTCATCATCATTTAAAACATTTTCTTGGTATTCTTTTATTTTTCTTTAATTCTTTTTCACATCTACATCTGTAAAAACATCCATCTCCAAATGATGTAATTGATGATGGTATATTAATTGATGTTAATGATGAACAATATCCAAAACAACAATGTCCTAATTTACTAACAGATGTTGGTATATTAATTGATGTCAATGATGAACATTCATTAAAACACCAATCTCCTATTTCACTAATTGATGATGGTATATGAATTGATTTTAATGATGAACATTTATTAAAACACCAATCACCTAACTTAGTAATTGATGATGGAATAATAAATTCATTAGTATCTTTCTTTTCAATATTCTTTCCATTGATTATTTCTAGATTATCTGGTATTTTAATACTAATTAACACTGGTTCGTTCATAAATATTCTTTCTTTACTTACAAATTGTAGATTATCTACACTCACCGATGTTAATGATGAACATTCACCAAAACACCAATTTCCTATTTCGCTCACAGATGATGGTATAATAATTGATGTTAATGATGAGCATTCATAAAAACAATCAGCTCCTATTTTACTAATTGATGATGGTATAATAATTGATGTTAATGATTCACATCCATTAAAACAATGATATCCTAATTCACTAATTGATGAAGGTATATCAATTGATGTTAATGATGCACAATAACAAAAACAACCATGTCCAAGTGATTTAACTTCTGATGGTATTGTATTTCCATATTTCTTTCTATCTTCTTCTGTATATTCTATATTTTTACAGATATTTCCTTGTTCTTTTTCGAATAAATATTTTGAATATTCTACTTTATACCATATTACTTTTTTAAATATTCTTCCATCATTAAATATTTTATCATTTTCATTATAAATATGAAATGTTTCAATATTAGGAAAGAACTTTCTTGAATATTGATTTAATGGAATTGGATTAAAATGAAATCGTTCAATATTTCCTCTAAATCTTTTAATTCCTATTTCTAAATTAATAAAATCATTAATATCATTAAAATATTTTGATGTTATCATTATTTCATTATATCCTAATTTCATTATTGATTTATTATTTATTAGTTGGTTTTATTAGTTCTTTTATTTTTATATTTTAATTTCTTCTTTTTTATTCTTTATCATCATTCTATTTTTATTAATTGATATTTGTTATGAAAAACAATAAATAATAAGAAATAAAATAAAATGTTATTTATTTTTATTTTTAATAAATTATAATTATTAAATATTTCATTTTATTTTATATTTTATTCATTATTTCATTTCAAGAAGATGTCGAAGCATTACAGGAAACAACACAAAAATTATAAAACAATCAATAACAAAAGAAGGAGAAATCCATACCAACCAAGAAATATAAATGATAGAATAATGAGTGAAAACACGTATTATCTGTATGGACAGAAATACATTAATCATCACATTAATCATTACCATAATAATAACTATCACCATAACAATTATCATAACCGTTATAATAATAGTGGTAAGAATCGTTTCACTCATCACTTCAATCATTTTCATCATCATAAGTATTTTATCATTAATTCAAATAGAAACAATCAATATTATAATACAAATAAATCACATCATAAAACACATCACAGATATAAACAATACCATAATAAAAAACAACAACAAATAATAAATAAAAGAAAAGAAACGATAGAAATACAAAACCAAGAATATTTGAAAAGATTATTTGAAGAAGAAACCAAAATACTTACGCAAGAAATAGAATAAATTAAGAACACTAAGATTAAAGAATATAATCAACAATAATGAGAAGATGGTATTTACTTGTAAGAGAAAAAATAAAAATGATTAGAATGGAGAAACTATCAGCACAACACTTGAAGAAGATGACAAACTAAATCAAAAAGAAATAAATGATAAATACTTAAATAAGAAATATACAATGATGAAAATGATGATGAAAATGAATTTGCTGAGGAGAAGAGGCTTGCTGAAGAGAAGAAGAAGAGGCTAGTAGAAGAGGAGAAGAGGCTTGCTGAGAAAGAGAGGCTAATAAAAGAGAGAAAAGAGGGACAATGAAGAGAAGAAGAGGCATAATGAAAAAGAAAAGATGAAATTAAAAGAAGAGGAAGAAAAGAACAATGAAAAAGATAAAAGAATAGAAGAATTAAAGAAAAGAATAGAGGAGGCTATTAAAGAGAAAGAAGAAATGAAGAAATACAAAAGAAGGACCAGACCATTAATAAATTATCAAATGACATTATGTCATTAAAGAAGAAGCATGAGAATGAGATAAACACTAAAAAACAAGAAATTGATAGAAAATTATTCGAATTCCATGCTGAATCAGAAAAGAAAATGTCTGAGGTAAATAATTTATCACAACAAGTATAGTTCATGAAAGATAAATTATTTAAATTACAAAATAAAATTACACAAGAAGAAAAGAAGAAAGAATAGATAAATCACACTATATCTGACTCATCTGAAACACAAATTGTGAATGACCTCAACCCCAATGTTGTAGTAGCTGATGAAATATCATCAATTGAAGATGATCTTTCAAAAAAAAAGAAAGTTAACGCAGAATTCAATCGAAGAGATGTGAAATCAGCATAAGAAGATCACCACATCTGATCATGACAATCAAAAAAACAAATGAAGCAAACAAATAGAGAATAATAAATTCTAACATTTTATAAATGTTTTGCACTGAAGTTATTAGAAAGAAAATTAAGATATCAACTTAAAGAAGAAGAAATAAAAAGATTAATACATGAATTTGATATTAAAATAGAAGATATTAATGAATATAAAGAAATAATAAAGAAATCATTTAAAATAAAGAATGAAATTAAAATTGAAGTCAATAGAAGAATTGAAGAAGAATTAATAACACACCAATTGAAAGATATTGAATAAAAGAATTAATAAAATAAATAAGAAAGAAGAAATACAAGAAGATGAAGTAATAAGAATAAATAAAGAAGAACATATGAAAGAACAAGAAGATGTACAATTTATTAATTATTATTACAATAAAAACAAAATACATCAAATAATTAATATCATTAATACAAATGAAATAGTAATCAATACATTAGATGATTACTACCATTATATTAAAACTATAACCTCCACTATTAACATCATTATTAATAAGAATCAAGAAAGAAGTTAAATGAGAAGTATAGAAAGAATATTATATTCAAAAATATGTAGATTAAGAGACTTGCTCCATAATAACCAATATATGAAAATAAAAAGAATCTTACATATTAAAAAATATGATATATATCACATTAAAATAAAAACAAATGATCAAATAAATTATTACAAATACCTCCAAAGAATGAAAAGAATAGAAATAGAAGTAAGAATAATTGGAAAAGAATTAGATGGAATTATAAAATGATGAAATATTGAAAGAGACAACTTCTAAATAAGTATAAAGAAGATGAATATCCAGATAATATTACTACAATTAATTTATTGAAATGAATCTATGAAAATAACACCAATATAGATTTCCTAAATATTAATTTATATGATATATTAATTGAAAATAGAATTAATAATAGAAGGTGCGTAATCACTCTAAATGAATTAAGTCATGCAATAAAATCCATTGCTAATTGGAAAGCACCTGGAATTGATAAAATACAATCATCTGGATTAAATATTTAGAACAACCAAAGAATTTATTATTAAAATTATTTAATAAATGGTTGTATAATCATAATGATATCAATATTCAATTTATCCAAGGAAGGACAATATTAATATATAAGAAATGAGATAAATTATATAAACTAAATTAAAGACAAATAACCTGTTTAAATTGTATGTTAAAAGTATACACATCTTTATTAAAGATGAAGATAGAAATCAATTGATATTAAATCAAATTGAAAAACAATTATCACAAAATCAAATTGGATGTAAAAAATATACATATTATCAAAAGAAGGATTATTATACAATACTATAATCATTCAGTTATTAATCAAGGCTAAATGGAAGTGGGTAGAAACATATTATGATGTTTCTAAAATATATGATAGTATTAATCATCAATGGGTTAAACAATGTTTAATTTACTTTAACATCCCATTAGTTGTAATTAAAAGTATATTATATATATTAAATAATACACAACTCCATTTATATTATAATCAACAAAATGTAGGTATAATTAATGTAGAAAGATGAATAATACAATATGATAGTTTATCTCCATTATTATTTGTATTATTTATTGATATATTATCTAAATAATTAGATAAACAAATTAATAAGTTATCTATTAAAATGAAATGAGAAGAAAAACAAGTCCAGTTAAATCACATATTATATATGGACGATTTAAATATAATAACTAACAACATCAATGAAATGGAAAAAACAAACAAATTAACAAATGAAATATTTAATAGAATATGATTAAAAATAAATGTAGAAAAGAGTGGGATAATGAATAATATCAATGGTCAGATAAATGGAGAATTAATAGAATTACCAAGAGTAACTAATGATAATCATTATAAATATCTTGGTATTGAAATAAGAGATAAAATAAATATTAATAAATATTGTACAAGAATATTAAATGATGTATCTTCTATTCTATCATCATTAAATAATATGAAATATAGCAGCCTCAATACAATAAGAAAAATTAATAATGATATAATCTCCAAATTAAGATATTGATTCTGTATTGTCAATTGGAAACTTGGTAAGTTTGAGAATATAGATAAACAAATAAGAAAGGCACTGATACAACTTCAACTATACAGTAGAAATATCCCTAAAAGTAGATTATATGTTACAATAAATGAATTAGGAATTGGATTAATGTCAGCACAAGATGAATATTGTAAAGAATTATTAAGAATATATTTAAAATATAAATATTAAATACAGAAATATTAGAAATGATAGAAACAGTAAAAGAGAATTCAAATGGAATAATTAAAAGAATGAAGAGAGCATTTTGTAAGAAAATTAATTTTAATAGATGAATATAATACAAATAAATGAAATAAAACATGATTTAAACAAAGTAATTGAATTTGTAACAAATAAAATAAATGAAAGATATTTAAATGAATGGAAAGAAATGAAATGTAGTGAATATATAAGAAATGTAAATTGTATATTTAATAATAATAAATTATCAGTAACAACATAGAGATCATTAAATATAAAAAGAAATGTTTTCTTCCAAGTAGTAAAGATACAAGAAGGAGTAACTATGACAGGAATTATTAAATCTAAAATACTCAATTGTGATGCTTTAAAATATTGTAAACATTGTCCTAATACAATTGCATCTATTAATCATATTTTGTTAGGATGTCCTGTAATGAAGAAGAATCAAATATTAAAACACGATTATGTATGTAAACAAATATATAAACATATATTAATTACCCATTTTAATGAATTTGATGAAATAGATTTTAATACACATCCTAAGTGTATTAATAATAATGAAATGGGTTATAACTTACAATAAAGATTTATTGGTTAGTGACAATTCTTTTAATGTTAGAAGACCCAGATATATATTATCAAAATATCAAAAATAAAAAATGATATATTATCGATGTCGCCATATGTCATGATAGAAACACTGAATTAAATTATATTTACAAAATAAATAAATACAAATAATTACAAGAGAAGTTAATACAAAGTAGAGAATTAATTTATGTAGAAATAATACTTGTAATATTAACAATCAATGGGTTGATACATAAAGAAACAGTAAGAAGATTAAAGACACTAAAATTACAAATTGACTTCCCCAAAATAATACGAACAATCATTATTAAAAACATGAAAGACTTAATGTTCTACATATTCAACACTGGCAACACATTAGAAGATGAACCTTCTAATTCTCATATGTTAGAAATGAACTCTATTGTAGAAATAGAGCATATTAAAGAAACTGAAACAATCACTTCTCAATATTCATAAAATCCAATTATGGATATATCTATTAACTGATATTTTTTCTATTCATTATTTCATTTTATATTTTATTTTTATTTAAT